GTTTTAGCACATCGGGGTCATGTTCTAAGAGCATTGTTTGTTCTTAGAGCATTGTTGGGTTCTAAGAGCATGTCGTGGTAGGCCTCTAGGAATGCTGGGACGGTCGGTCCTTCCTCAAATCGTCGTCATCGTCACCCTCTCCCTCGCCGTTGTCAGAGGAGCAACAGTTAGAGGTTGATAGACCTACCCTGACACGTCGATCAGCGAACTGGCCGTTTTCAGTTCGCGAGAGGGCGTCGCGGCCGTCATTTTTGAGGGTCCACCGTCGGTTTCGATCTTAGGCCGTTTTCACTGAAGGGTGGTTTACTAAAGGGAGGTTTGTCCACCGCCGAGACAGGTACCCATACCTCTACCCTTCGGTCGTTCTTCTCTTGTGAGGCCTCCTGGGAGGCCCTCGTCGCCACCGCTGGATTCGCCTCGAAATCCTGGTCGTAACGCACCCTGGGAGAAGCCCCGGGGGGTAGCGGTATATACCGGCACCTCTTGGTTTCCCCAGTTGCCGCCAGGCAGGGTCGGTGCGCACGGTTTGCGTGGGTTTGGCCTCCTCCGCGGCCCCCCGAAGCCGCGCACCGAAGGTTCACTCTTGCCCTTGGCTGCCTCGGCACGCCCGTCTTGAGACGCCACGCGTGTCGTGCTCAGAACGTTCGTGTCAATACGCTACTTGTTGGCTCAGCGTACTTATTGGCCCACGTTTTGGCAAACGTCTCGCGTCAGAGCCACGTTTTCAGTCTACGTTTAAGCCGGGCCTGTGCCTCTACAGGCGGAATATCCAAAAATAGTCAAAAATAATATGGGGACGATTGTTTGACTTTTTTGTTGTTGTTGTTATTTTAGGGGCATGTTTCGACAATTATTTTATTTGTCGTCCAACATCCGCCTGTAGGGGGACATGCCCGATTTAACTCTACGTGTCCAGCTCCGCATCAGCACGCCACGTGTTGCGTGCTGCGTGCTGGGGCAGCTGGGCTCGTGCCCGCTGCCGCTCTTGCGTGCAGTCGAGCTGCGCCGTCGCCGCTACCTGGAAGTCGGGCCTGTCCCTCTACAGGAGGAGTATTCAAAAGTAGTCACTATTTTTGAATATTTTCGGCTATGTTTAATTCTTCGCCCAACATCCGCCTGTAGGGAGACATGCCCGACTTAACGCTACCGCCGCCGCCATCGTCGCCAGGTCTCGGCACGCTCCCGCGCCTCTCTGTTGCTCGGGCCCCGAGGCGGCTTTTCTGGCAGCCACGCCCTGCCGAGCGCGCTTTTGCTTCTTGGGGGCCAGCGGTCGGAGGAGGAAAGGGTACTCGTGCCTCTAGCCTTCGGCCGTTTTCCCCTTCCTTAGAGGCCCTCGTCGCCGCCGCTGGATTCGCTTCGAAATCCTGGTCAGAGCGCACCCCGGGAGAGGTCCAGGGGGAGCGGTATATACCGGTACCTCTTGGTTTCCCACCAAGGTGGGTCGCCATGAAAGCAGGCCTCTCCCTGGCAGCCGACCTGCAGGGAAAAAGGGGCTCAGAGGGACGCCATCAGTACATCGCCACCAGCCCTGGCCAGGTCCATCCTGGGCCCTGGACTGGTGCATACCCATCGGACGTTGAAGGAAGGTATTTTGGGAGTCCTAGATTCCACTATTTTGAACACCTTCCTTTTTCAGTGATCGAACGGCTTCACCTTTTCCGTCCTCTTTGGAGGTGGGCGGACACCCAATCTACTGTCAACGCCTGCCTACTTCATGTTTCTGCCTGCTTCTTCCGCCAGATGGTTACACCACCGCCAGCCCTGGCCAGGTCCATCCTGGGCGCTGGACTGGCGCGTAGGCCTCCAGGCTTTGGCCAGAGTGGCCCGTGCACCAGTCCAGGGCCCAGGCTGGGCCTGGCCAGGGCTGGCGGTGGTGTGCTGCTTGGAGCTCTCCGCCTCGTCGTTCGTCGCCGTCGTCGCCGCTAGGTTTGGGCTTTCACGGAAGCCCGCTTCGGGCCCCAAGGGGTCCACGAAGCACGGCGCCAAGGTTGGAATCTACGCGCGAGCGAGGGGGTCGCTGAGGAGTGGGAGGCGGAGATGGGGGAGAGGGGGGTGGGGGGTAGGGAGGGGGTCGGGGGACAGGGGGATGGGGGAGGGTGCGGGTGGCGGGGGAGGGCGACGTCATGAGTTTTTTCATGACGCGACTCCCAGAGGTCTGGAACCATTCCCCGGGACCGGTGTTGCATCCTGAGTCGTTTTTTGGACGGTCCCGAGGCCCGGCAAGGGCCCCATGCAGGGGGCCGAAAATAGAGAGAAACCTCCCGCCGTGACTTTTTCACAACGCGGAGGGGTCTGGGGAGCGGGCGGAGGCGGAGAAGGGTGCCGGGAGTAGGGAGGTCGTTGAGGGCGAGCGCGAGAGAGGGGGGGCCTGGCGTGCGCCCGCGGAAGCGCCGAGGGGAGCCCCCTCTCCGGGTCCTGCAGGAGTCTGCGCAGTTCGGGTTCGAGGGGGGCGACGCGAAGGGGAACGAGAGCGAGATGGCGCAGTTCGCGATGCTGGAAG